AAAATAAAAAGTTTGACCTAACCTCCCTGTTAGGGCTCAACTGCTGGTACTTCATGTGTCACTGAGGAACTGACATTGACTTACCATGTGCAGAATTAAGCTTTGCTTCACATCACCTTTATTGAGGACTCACCTTGCTGTTCACTGTTCACATATTTATCTGCCTTTTTCTACCTGTGGGTCAATAACAATAAAAATAGCTTTCCTGTATTGTGTCTAATTTGTAGTAGTCATTCTACTGAGAACTTTACACGTATTATCTCCTCTAAGTTTCCCAACAATCTCAAGAGGTGGCCCATTTTACAGATGGAGTAGCTTCATCTTACAGATGAAATAAAGGAAGCTCAGAAATCAAGTGTCTGAGTTTAGCACCCAAATCCTTTTGCCTTCAGAGCTTAAACACTTGATTACATTATATTATCTCTTAGTACTGATTCACTACAGGGAGGAACTTAAACTTGATTTCTCCCAATTGAGTTCATCAGTCAACAACCATTTATTAAACATCTGGAAAGAGCCAGGCCTGCAATAAATGTGCATATCCATATAAACTGTCCTAATATGTTAATTTCATATGGAAACTTTGTTTATTGAACAAACATGTATTGAACACCTACTAGGTGCTAGGTACCGTGGCCAAGAATGTAAGTGTGGTATAATCTCTGGCTTTAAGTAGCTACAATCCCCATGAGATCCAACAAACATGTATTGAACACCTACTAGGTGCTAGGTACCATGGCCAAGAATGTAAGTGTGGTATAATCTCTGGCTTTAAGTAGCTACAATCCCCATGAGATCCCTTTGTTGGTGAGTCCCCCACAAAATAGGGAAATTAATACTGTCAATAAAGGCTGCCCTCTAGTGGACATCTGTGAAAACTAGAACAAATCCACAGATTTTTTCCATTTCTTTCTCCCCAAGTTAAACTATTAGAGAACCTGGTTCTTACAGAAATTAAAAAAAAAAAAAAAAAGCTTTTGCCTCATCATAAAACTCTCCACCATGGAATACTCCATGGACTCAGGGACTCATAACATTTGGGACTGGGGCCGATGTTTTCTAAGTAGCGTTCTGTCCTGAACTTCTTCATTTTATTGTAAACAAGTGAAGAGGAGGGTATGATAAAATTCTGGGTCTCTTTATAGTTGATCCTTACATATTTTTTTTAAAGTTTCATTCATTGAGCAAGTGTCCTGTATTTTATGTAAATAATTATATAAATTACCTTACAAAACAGTTTCAAATCAGCATCCCAGAAGCCGATTTAGCCCACTGAAATGTTTCATTTGGTTCAGTGGAATTACTGACTTTTCAAAATTATTATATTTCATAAGAAATTATAGGTTTCTGGATTCTCTTTTTAAAAAGTAGGAGGTCTGGCAACACCAGACCGCATACACATATGGCAACCCAACAATCAACTAGAAGAGGTTAGAACTTGATATTGATATTTTATTGGTGGAAAGTTTAGCTTGGAAACATTTGCAAAACAATTTTTTTTCTTTTGCTCTATAAAAATGAAGACTTTTCCTTCTTCTTTCTTTTAAGAGACCATATCATATTCGCTCCAGTACTTCCAGTAAGGAAATTGCACACATATTGGAGACAGCTATTGTGACTTACCCTTCAGCCTGGTCACAGGAAATGGTGTCGCTTCTTAAAAAGGTAAGAAGGGAGACTGCATGTCAAAAGAAAGTGAGAAGAGGAAGCATGCTCTCCGGTTTAAGGTTGGAAGTTAGTGTACAATATTGGAAAGAGGAACGCTAATATACATTTCTAGAATGGTTTTTGCAGATAATAGATTTCAAATACATGACTTCATTAATTCAACTCATAAGTCCCCTTGATGTCCCAGGGTCACCTCAAACTCCGTGTGTTCAAAGTGGAATTCTTAATCTGTCCATATTTCCTGGACTTCTTTTGACGTTCCCTCTCTCAGTGACGGGCCCCTCCTTCCATCTGTGTACACAAGCCAGAAACCAGGACTCACTCATCTCCTCCTTACCCAACTCATCACCAAGTGCTGAAATTTTTCATTTTAAATAACTTTTGAATCTTTTGCTTCTCTCCATCCTCACGACTCTCTCTGTCTTATAACTGGTTTGCCTCCATACATCTGACCACTCCATTCTGTTCCCCACTCTGCCCAGTGGCAATCTGTGTAAAGGGCAGGTCAGTGTTTTCCCATTGTTCTTAGAATACAGATTAAAATAATTTGTTTGGTATAAAAATTCTAACTACCTCTCGAGCCTTATTTTGGACTTTTGTCCCCATTTTGACTACACATATACTACATTGGCCTTCTTTCTCTACTTCTCCTCCTATTCTTCTTCTTCAGCCTCACATACCAGTATCCTCCTCACCACAGGACCTTTGCGCATGCTAGTCCTTCTGGAACACTGCCCCCCGCTGCAGCCCCCCCAGCTCCCTGAGATCACTACCACTCAGTGTGATTCACTGACTGATTCTAGTCCACGAGTTGTTTCCTACAGGTCCATGATAAGTACAGAAATTGAGAGAAGCATTTAGAAACACGGTAGCGATTCAACACTGCTGTAGCATCTGAGCACATGGTCAGTGGACTTGTCACCTTGAACAGGGTGTAAGCTTGTTTGGGTGATGTTGAACTCAAGTCACACGTTGCATGTGGTGTGGAGCTGGATACTAGCCATGCACAGTAAGTTCACATAATGGTTTCAATAGATTGGAAAATATAAAAAACAAGCAAAAACAAACAAAATTAACTGGCCCTTCTACATAGTTTGAGAAGCACTGCTCTAGATCTTAACTCAAATATCACTTCCTTGGGGATCCCTCCTCTGTTGTAAGCTCACATAACACTATCTTTCACAGCATTTTGCAGAATTTGAAATTATTATATAGCATTTGTGTGATCCTGGGGTTAATGATCATTCTTCTCTAAGCTGCATGAGGGTAAAGACTATGTCTGACTCATGCACCATGGTATTCTTAGCATCTAACATTGAGCCTGACAGATGGTAAAATTTGGTAAGATTAGATATAATAAATGAGGTCCACAGCTTTCATCAGATTTTCATGGTGCCCATGTTCACCAAAAAGATTAAAAACAATTGTATCAAAAGCTCAACAGTGTATGCTGAGCAATTATGCCAAAAAAAAAAAAAAAAAGAGGAACCCAAAAAGATGGGATTGGCTTTATTCTTAAGAGAGAAAATTGCACAAGTGTGGCTGGTAAAGGAAAAGAGCTTTAGAGGCTAAAGATTCAACATGTGTGTCTCTTGTCTTCGGAATCAAGCTCCTTGATTTGGAATAGGGACATTGTCATTAGTAATGTCAAAGATGTAGAATAGGAGGTTCATTTTCCATAAGCAGATTTTGCTGAATTCCAAGACAGCCCCACTTCACCCCAAAATTGTGCCCTGATGTTCCATGGTTGTCATCCCCAGGAGCATCCCCATGTTGTCTCTGGAGTGGTTAAGGGGGGAAGATCTTCAATCCCAGTTAGTAAAACCCAGAGCTCTAACAGCAACCTTAGTTACACCTTCTCTGTGCTACCCCCAGTGTATTTTAATTAGTTGTTTAAAAAAAGCTAAAATTTTTAGGTAGAAATGAGTTTCACTTGTGAAAATGTATGAACATTTGCCACCTAATAGCACACCTTTCTGGCAGGTACTTTATATACATGGCCTTATTTAATCCTGGTTACAACGTGAGATAGGTTTTTAAAACCTTTTCAACAGATGGGTAAACTGAGGTTTAGAAAACAAACTCGCCCATAGTTAGTAAGTAGGGGAGTCAGATATAGAAGATATGCTTGACTGGGTAAGACAAGCTATTTTCGCTCACCACATTGCAAAACCCTACATGGTTCATCATCTGAATTATTTGGTCATAGGTCAGTGAAGGGAGACACTGCTTGTTTCCTTCAATCCTACACTTGAAAACATGTAGAGGAAATTTGTGTGATTTTTTTGCCTCCTAAGTTTGGACCTTCTTCGTAATCTTGGTGTTTGTATTCATTTGGCAGCTACTTGAACCTAATCCAGAGCAACGATTTTCTCACTTGTCTGACATTCAGAACTTCCCATATATGAATGATACGAACTGGGATGCGGTTCTGCAGAAGAGGCTCATTCCAGGTTTTATTCCCAATGTGAGTCAATCCTAACAGACCCCGTAGTAACTCTCATTCAATGCACATTACTCTGTGTGCCAGACCCACACATCGTCTCATTAGATAATCACACCAGTATTGTAACAGAGAGCCCCAAAAGCCTATTTTACAGATGAGAAAACTGAGGCACACACAGGGTAAGTTGGTTACCAAGGGTCACACAGCTAGCAAGTGGCCAAGCTGGGATTCTAACCCAGGTTGTATTTTCATTTGGAGTTCTAGCTCCTAACCACTTTTTATGGTGTGATATTTTGGGGGAGAAATCTTGGTCCCCCACATAGTTATTTCCATGAATCTACTAATTTTTTTTTTTAAAGAGTTCTCAGATTCCAAAGTTGTAGATATTTGTGTTCACAAAGGCCTGTGAATGAAAGGATTGAAAACTGTTGGGTTTGGGGTGAGGAACTTATTTTTACCATTCACCCTCTTTGCTATTTCTATCTCAGGGATTGATACAAGTGTGCTACAAAAAGTTCAGGGAGGTTCGTATTATCTTTTAATTCTATTTCCATGAACTTTTTGAAGTACTTTTGTATTTTTAAGGACTAATAGGCAAAGAGAAGTAATTCCCACTAGATGAGTCCCTGCCCGAGGGACACCTGTGGCCTTCTGCAGGCTGCTGGTAAAAGCTGGAGTCCGGAAGCTTAGACAAAGGGGCCCAAATGAGGCTTCTAGTGCTTTCTCCCTACCCAGGACCTGAATTATACATTCAGTTGTAGGTATATTGGGCAGAATAATGTGCTCCTAAAGGGACCTGTAGAAACAATGCAGAGATTTCTGTTCTTAAGCCCAAGCAAGGCACTTGCTGTGGGCATGTGGGAGTGTGATCTCTTATGGGTAAATAGCAGAGAAGACGCTCCAAAGAAGGGGTTGGGTAAAAGTGCAAAGTGAGAGAAGGGAGAAAGCAGCGTGGTGGGATTCTGGGGGTGGAGATCTGTATCAGATGGGCATCAGGAGGGTGGGGTCAAGTTCTTACCTATCCAGTCTGCGGGGTCCACCAGGGGCAGTTGTACCATGGCTGATGCATGACACTGTGGAGGTCTAGGCACCAGCTCTTGCTTCCATCCCTCTTTCAGTGTTCACTGAATTAGCATCACTGCAATTGGCCATCAATGTTGGCTTAAGAGAAGCTCTCCATTATGGTTCTCTGACTTTATTGTGAATCTGAATAATGTGGGGAGTTCATTTAAGTGCATATCATTGGGCTTCATGTTCAGAAATGCTGTTTGGGAAGTCTGACTGGGGAACTGGGAAGCTGAACAGGCAACTCAGGGGATCCTGACTGACATGATCATTAGCACACGCTTTGAGAAACATAACCCAGAAGCTCACGCTTTAGTAAAACAATTGTAATTTGGTTTCCTTTCAACTCATTGAGGCCTCACTGGAAGTTTAGAAAAATAAAATATAAAGTCAAAGAATATGAAAAGCAATACTGGCATAAATGGTATAAAGGTTAGAGTGGGAACCCAGCTTACTGTTGGGCTGCTCTGTTAGAACTCAGTGTTATTCTCCATATTAGAGCTGGTGTGTTTTTAGGATGATACAGGAATCTGAGGACTGAGCCAAACTGTCTTCCTTGCAGAAAGGCAGGTTAAATTGTGACCCCACCTTTGAACTCGAAGAAATGATTTTGGAGTCCAAACCTCTTCACAAGAAAAAGAAGCGACTGGCAAAGAAGGAGAAAGAGATGCGGAAATGTAATTCCTCTCAGGTAAGCAGGTCCCTGCCAAACTCAGGGTCACGGGCATCCCCATGACGGCTGCAGTTTACTGAGAGCTTTTGTTGGGAGGTTGTCTCAGAACCCTGCTTTTGCTGCTTTGTGGAATTAAAGGACAAACTGAGCACCCAGGCTTCTAAAAAGGCAGACTGGGGCAGCTCTGGGGTCCTAGCAGTACCATCTCACCTGTGTACCTGCTCTCCAGAGTGCTGCTGTCTCACCTGTGCTGCTCCAGTAATTGCCTCTCCCAGCTCTCAATTCAAAATTTACAGATTTCCCAAGAGAGAGAGACTCTAATTGGCCAAGCCTAGGTCAGAAGACTACCCCTAAAATTACGGTCAACGGGCAGGTTTCAAAGTACACACATGACACTCTTGCTTCGAGAAGTTTTTGGAGTGACCAGCCGCAGAGGTGGTGTCTATTCTTTGCCACAAGCGGAATTTTGTGATATTAAGGCTCACAGATGTACAGTATCTGTTCACAGGAACAATGGAATTCTTATGAGGCTGAGCACTATTGCTGAATTTTGGGTTGAATTAAATTTGTTTCTTAACTAAGTATATTATTCTCTGTCAGAGTCAGAGCTCAGATTTTAGTACAGTAACTTGCAGGAACCAATGAGGATTTTATACTCACATAATAAACTTTCACTTTGCCTCTAATGGTCCATCCATCCATCCATCCCTCCCTCCATCCATTCATTTAGGCTACTTATATTGAATACCTATTATCTGCCAAGTCCTGTGTTAAACACTGGAGTTAGAAATGAATGAGGTGCAATTCCTGCACTCAGTGACATCCCTGTTCTCAGAGATTGCATAGTCAAGTGGTGAAGATAGCTCTGCAAACAAATAAGTATCCTTTGTCATTAATTTCTCTAGCCCTCAGAGGCCGCTATAACCTTTAATGGTCAATTAACCAAAGTCCACATCTCCATCCTGTTTGATCACAGAATCGGCCTCTTGGCAGATTCCCATCCAAAAGTGTTTTCTAGCGCCCGCCGAGGAATGCTTAGCTGTGCTGCCAACCCATCTTGCTTGTTGTCTGTCACTTCAACCATTTTCCTCCTAATGATCAATTCTTCTTCATATCATAACCAACTCACTTCTCCAGACGTGCTACTTCCCATGACCCTTGGAAAGAGCGTGGCTCAAACTGGATACAGGCTCCTCTGTTAACAAGCCCCCAAATGTGGCAAAGACCAATAGATCATCTTTATTACATGTTTTTTAAAGTTTTAGGGATAACCAAGCAATTTGTGAATAACTGTTTACCATGCCTACCCTGATCAGCATGCTCAGTCTGTCTTTCCCACCCCATCCTCACACTGTACCACACCTGCCCTCGCCCAAAACCCTCTGACCGCACAAGCCCTGCAAGTGTCTGACCCTCAAGCACTGCTGGTTTTGTCCTTCTCCAGACTTTGCCCTCTCCCTTTCCTTTTCCTGGAATGTTCTCCCCTTGGATTTTCACACAGGAGGCTTCCTCTTGTCCTTTACATCCTCAGGGTCACCTAGTTAAGATTAGGTCCCTTAGCCATGCCCCTCTTTCTCAACTCCTATTTTTAACTTTTTCATCAATAAATATAGTTTATAAATATTTTATTTATATGCTTATTTGTGTTTCTTTTTCCATCCTTCTAAAATGAAGGCTTCTTGTGGGTGAAGGCCAGGTCAGTCTTATCTGCTGTTGTCCCCAGGGTACCCCAACAGTGCCTGTAATATAGTAGACATGCAATAAGTGTTCGTTCAGTACATTAAAGAAAGGTAAGAAAACTTCAAAACTGGATAGTAAGGACTGGACATTGCTGCTCTTAAAGTTGAAAGGTCAAGTTCTACCCATGGGGCATCTTTTTGTGGTTCTCTCTTGTCTTAGTCCCCCACTGTACGCAGTGTTTTTAAATGTCCTAGTCTTTAATGTCTGGCTCAAAAGGAGAAAAAGAGAAAATGAAGAGGGGAGTGAAAGGATGCTGACCCTTTAAGTCCCCTGGAAGTCACTTCAGCCTGAGAGGCAGGGGCTAGCAACAGTGGGGGAGGTGCAACAACAATGGCCACCAACCTCTTTGTCTGCACCTCTGTGATCAGCAGCAGCAATTGGTGATCAGAACACAGATCCCCAGTATTTGGAGGACATGGCCCCTATTTTCCACCCAGGCTCTCACAAGCCATGTGTAAGCTACTCTGGTAACGTGTGCAACAGCTCCATAGAACTGCAGGGTAGGGGGTGGGTAGTTGCTACCGTGCTAAGAGCTGAAATTGATCATAATTAACGACACTTTATAGCCCACGCTTTCCCCTGGAAGTTTGAAGCCTTCAATACACTCCAGAGTTCCAAAATAGTTTCAGCAGACAGGTTCAGCCAGTGCAATTGTCTAGGTGGGGAGACAGGTACTTCCTACTTTGCCATCTTCCAGAAATGCTCTTCATATAGAATCCATTTTGAAGATACATTGGTACTTCTTAGATTTGGGCTATTCATTGAATAAACACTCAATACGTTTTTGACTCTTTGAAGATTCTCGTTTGTCTAACTATACCTGTATTTTGTTTTCAATGTTTACCTAGAAGACATGTC